GCATGCATTAAATACCTACTATTTGTCAGACACTAGTGACACAAGTACAAAGAATGAAATGATTACTATTGCTGTTACATTTTAATGGGAGAGACAAGTACAAGTAAAAAGAAATACAGCATAAATATAAAGTATATACATTACAACAGTTAAATACAAAGCATTTTGGCAAGGCAGACTCCGCCAGGTGGAGGAATCAGGGAAAGCTTAAGAACTGCATCTTAAAGGAAGAGGGTTGCCATGAAGACAAGATAAGGGGGGTGGAGGATATAAGAAAGTCAATACAAAGGCACTGAGAAAGGTAACAGAGTGTGATGAATGAAAAATAGAGAGAAAGCCTATTTGATTGGGTCACACAGTGAGACAGAAGGAATGATGTCCAGTAAGACTATAAACTTAAACTTAAACTTAAACAGAGGGATTTATGTTTTATCTTAGAGACAATAAGAAGACAGTGGAGTTGATTGAGTAGAAGAGACACATGGTCAGATCTGCACTTAAGGAAAATTACTTTAAAAGTAGTGTGTAGGGTAAACTGATATAAGAAATACTTGAGACAACTAGGAGTCTGTTGAAATGATCTAGGAAAGAGGGGATGAAGGCCTGAATGAAGGATACTGCTGTATGAGTGGAGAAGAGGCAGATAGAAAAGACACTATCAAAATTTAAATGGCAAGATTTGACAACTTATTAGATATGTGCAGCAAGGGAAAGTGAGCATTAGAAGATACTACTGCTGAGGTTACAGATCTGAGAGTCTGGGGGAGAAAGGTGGTGCCTTTTAAAGGAACAGGAAAAATTGGAAGAAGAATAGATTTTGTTGGAAAGAAAATAAATTCAATTTTGAACATATTGAGCTGAAGCTGCCTCCAGGACATCTATTTTGAAATATCTAAAAGGCAATAATTGTTGATGTGAGACTAGAGCTGGAAATACATGCATGTATGTTGGTATACAAATACGCACATACACATGCATACATATATGTATATGTGTATATGCATAGACACACACATGAATATAAATTATCTACTCATTTGATGTAGGCAAATACTGCTGTATTTTGAGACACTAACCACCTCTATCATAATAGAAAAGTTCCTTAGCCTTGTAGTATCTCAATTTTCTAGTATGGAAAATTAGGCTGGCAACATTATCTATTTTATAGAGCTTTGTGAATGAAGAGCTTTTCAAAATGTGTGTCAGAGAAATATCATAATTATTATTATGATCAAAATTATGCATAAACCAACATATAAATAAGGGGAAAACTCTTGAACTTTACTTTGCAAACAAAATTCTCTATTAGCATTACAAGTGATTATATTTTAAAGACATTTTCATAGTTCAAGGCAACATCCTCTTATTTCATGAATCAGGTTCAAGAATCAAAGTTTGGGTGTTATTTTTACCCATAATAATAGTAATAAAACTAGTTAGTTCTACTCTCATAGGATCATGGATTTGGATTTGGGAAGGATCTTTGATATCATCTGGTCTGATAATCTCATTTTACAGATGAAGAAATTGAGGCCCAGATAAGTTAACTGACTCACCCAAAGTGAGTTAATGTCAGTGCTGGGGCCTTAATTGAACCTGGATCACAGAAGCACATATTAAGACCTAGAAGTCACCTCTGAGGTTATAAAGTACAAATCCATGAGGAAACAGGCACAGAGAGATTATGCCTTGGCCGAGGTCATCAGATTGTACTTAGTAGAATCGGGCTGTGAAGCGAGGTCCTCAGACTTCAAATCCAGTGCTCTCTCCTCTGTCATGCTATCTCCCAATTTATTGCATAGTACTAGTTCATGTGATAGCTTCTCTTAATTCAGTATGCCAGATACTTCCATCATTCCTCCCACCTCCATCTATCTACCCAATGTCTTAGGGTAGTATGATGTAAATTCTTTGTGTATTTTCTTATTCAAACAGAAGTCCATTGAATCAGCATCTTGTCTGTTCTTCCTCACCAATCTTAGCCATCAGCACCACTAAAAATAGCAACACTAGTTCCGAAGCTATGGCAAGCTACCCCAGAAGACTCCTCAGGAGCAAACTGCCAGTGAAGCATGCAGCTGCTTGGTTCTTTTGAAGAAGCTGGCCATATGGTGCACAATGGGTTTGGGCTTTGAAGAAATCTTTCTGCTGCCATTTCATTTCCTGATGTGTCTAAACAGTTTTTAAAGAATTTTTTAATATAAAATTATATTTTGCTTTATATATTTTTTATTTTCTTTTATATTTTACTCCCTACTTTTCTGCAAGGCTGACTCTCCTCCCCCACCAAACCAATTTAAAATGTATGATCATTGATCTGATAATGGGAGACACGTCATCATATAAATGGAAAACACTGGAATTGCATATTAGCATTGTCAAGACTGTGGCTAAGTGGTAAATGGAACACAGAATGTAAGTGTTCTAATGAAGGAACTATCACTATCAAGCCTTTGTGTCTATGTATTTCTCTGCTCACAGGCTGTTTGAGTGCTTTGCTTTTGTTTTTGTTTTTTGATTTGTTTGGTTTTATTTTGTTTTTTTTTGTTTAACAAAATGGAAGGGAAGAAAACAAAACAATTAAAAAAAAACTCCTTAAATCTAAGATTCCAGGGCCTAAAGATTGCATTGTTATTAGCTACCTAAAACTTTTCCCTTCGTTATCATTTTTTTTGGCTAAAACTTGCTGACATTTGGAATTTTATGTCAGTCTCCATAAGTCAGATTTGACCAAATGTTTTGGTTTTCCCTCTAATGCCTGATCTTGCAATCATACTTTCTTTGATTAGCAAGACAACTGAGGAAAAGGAGGGAAGTTGAAACAGAGTATAAACTTTTTGAAAACAGTCATCACTTCTTGGACTTTTTTTTATTCCTCTTAGTGCCTAACACTGTTTTTGGCACAATATAAACATATGTAGAATATCTGCTAACTGATTCATTTTAGCATGAAATATTCTGACAATTTCTCAAGGATTCATTTTTTCCCCTAGGAAGTAAAATACAATTTTAGATACAGTTTTTTTTTAAGCATAAGATTCTTCCAGTACTATCTCTCAGGGGGGTTCATCAGGTTCTTATTTTATGCTTCAGCTCAACAGAATATTTTATTTCCAAATGACCTAAATGCAAGAGAGGTGATTGTTTCTGAATATGGATATTGAAGTTACAGTGATATAAAAAGGCCAATGAAGCCAGAATGCATGCCACTGGAAGTCAATTGAGCACAGAGGTCTAAACTTCAGTCATCATAAGTGCTTTCTTCTAACAAGCCATCTTTTCAAGAGTCTTCATAAGATACTCTTTTGTTATATTGGTTTGATTATTTTCATATCATCATATACAATCATAAATTGTCATTTTGAACAGCTTGTCTGAAGTTTTCCTTTACATTGTAGAAAAAAGAAAATCTAATCATTAAAAGCACAGCCAACTGGGACATAAACAAAGTACAAGGTAATAAACTATAAGTAGGGTTACAAGAAATATGGGATAATAGTACATTAAAACTAATAGAACTTCAATAAAAACAACTTTTTTACATGCCAGATAGGCAAACATTTGTTCATATACCTAATGTATTCTTAGAAAGACAAGAACTACAATTCATGCATTACAAATGCAGTAAAACTGCCAAATTAATTTGTATAAATTCAAGTTATCACATTTCTATTTGTATAAAGTAACAAAGGAATATTCCCAATTCTGCTTTGGAATATGTGAAAGAGAACTGGTACAGTCTTATTCCAGGGGTAGAAAATGTACCATAAAGTGATACACAACAGAATATTAAGGAATGAATATAAGGTGTTACTATGCAACAATTAATTATTAAACAAAAAGTGTTCATCGAGGTGGGCAATGATAACTATCACCACTTGAAGAAGCCTTGGTTGGACTGAACAGTCATGGGAGGGGGGAGGTGGAATAATCTGGCAAAGAGTTGATCCACAGCTAAAACTACGTAAGGATAAAATAACCAAGAAACCACATAAATCAAAACTTTAGTAAGCAAACATCCTTCTTTCCAAATAATATAAGGAAGATTGTTGACTAAACTTTAGAATGATTTGTCCCTTTGCAGTGCCTTGATACAACTTCAAATTCAGATTTCTTGTAATTAAAATGTTTACCATAGGGTGTGTTCATCTCTTTAATGCCAATTGATTGGGGAAAAAAACACAACTTCAATTCAAATCCATTTCATTTTGTAATAGTTCAAGGAAAAAAAAATTACTAAACTACTTTTAAGTAGTTCTATAGTCAAAAATAAAGATTTCAATATTATAATTACAGATTACTTTGTAAATCACTCATTACAATCAATTTTTGAAAATGCTGATGAGGAAAAACAAAATCACTATTTATTGAAGTATTTGAATTTAAAAAAAAACAGAAAGATACTATTACTACATGAATCAGTTTATTACAGCATTCAGATGAGGGAAAATATAGCTAGCAGATAGAAAATCTATAAAGTTGTCACATTGCCTGGCTAACCTTTTTTTTTGGGGGGTGGGAAGGGAAGTGTTGTACAGGCTTAAGTATTTCAAGAAAGAAGTCAGTTTCTCTTGGATTTGTAGATAAGTAGAAAATAATTGGTTTAGATAAGAGGATCAAAGTGGAAGCAAGCAAAGAGATAAAAATGGGAGAAGGCTACAATGGAAGTGATTATGTGATGTGATTGAACAGTGCAAAGGGATCTAGGTAGGGCATTAGAGAAAATGAAACCAAGCAAAACCTGAAGAAAACACAGAAAAGGACAAAAAAGATTGGATAGTAATCTGCACACAGAATTAGAAAAAAGCAGGGGAAAGTATGTGCTTGGTGAAGTGAGAAGAATCATTGACTTATGGTGACAGCAGAGAGCACAGAAACTGGGCTCAGAAGGAAGAATGAGAGACTCAAAGTGAGAAGCTCAGAGCAGCAATATAAATTTGGCAATCCACATGACATTTAACCTTCTGTATGTGTTAAATACCAAAATCAAAGTTCAGTACCTTTGCTTTATCTCTCATTGATCCTTTCCCCAGGATAGACATTTTAGCACCTGTCTCTTCCTGTAGCCTCTTCAAGGAGTTTCCTCTTGGTCCGAGCAATTTCCCCACAAAATTGAACTAGGAAACAAAATCAATAAAATGTCTGTTTTAAGATGGGGTAAAGAGACAATGTGCAATAAGAATTTAAAAAAAAAAAGCTCCACAGCATTGTGAAGATGCTTATTTTTGTAGGGAGGTTATATTGACCCTTTCAGGTCTCTGAGTTCTATTCAGTGAAATACTTCTTCCTGTGCATTAAATGATACTCTTGCTATATGACAGAGCACATTAAAATGATTGATTTCTTTATCATAATTAAAATATTTAAGGCAAAATGGAATTATAAAAAATAAGGAGCATATTTAAATATTTTAGTTCAACCTTTGATCAAAATAGATTTATAACATACTAATAATATGCCAAAACCTAAAGTCAAAAATGTAACAAACTATGCAGCTTGCAGAAAATCACATAAAAATAATTTCTTGTAGACTAAGTTCATTTTTTAATTTTATTTTTTAATTTTTAATTTTTTCCATATGCTTTTGAGTTGAAAATTTTTCTCCATTTTCCTTCCCCCACCCTCCCCAAGATGGTGCACAATCTGATATAGGCTTTACATTTACATACCCATTAAACATATTTTCACATCAGTGAAGTTGTAAGTACAAATTAAAGCCAATAGGAGGAACCATCAGAAAGATGAAATGAAACTCAACAGAAGGTAAAAAAAAATAAGTGATAGCAATTTGACTTCCATAGTTCCTTCTTTGGATGTGGACAGAATTTTCCATCCTGAGTCCTCTGAGATGTTATAGATCCTCGTAATGCTGAGAAGGGTTCAGTTTAGCAATCATAGTCATTGCATAACGTGGCTGTTGACTAGTTCATTTTTAACAAGTTTCCTTAATAGGGCATTTTAGACTGATATATTTTTGACAGAATTTCTAGATAAGGACAATGCCATAGACATAACATACTTGCATTTTATCAAGGCAGTTGACAAAGTCCATAATAGATAGCTATCAAGAACATTTATCACAAAATCCTTGTGGGTAAAATGCAGAGTTAGTGGATAGCTAACATTAGTGGATAGGTACATACTGAACTTCTTGAATAACCAGACCAGAGCAGCAAATAATGACTCTCTCTCAATTTGGGGGAATTTTTCTAGTGGAATGACCCAAAGATCTCTCTTTGGCTTTATGCTAGTGAAAATTTTCGTCCATAACTTAGAAAACAAATGACAATCTTCTCAAATTTATACATTACACAGAATTTAAATGGATAACTGAATTTGGAAAATAGCCAGGATTCAAAAAAAGCTATCAATAGAATAGTCATAACAGTAACTCATATTTAAATGTACTTTAAAAGTTACAAAGTAATTTACTCAAACATTCCTTTCACATATTTCCTTGTCCTAGTTACAGAGATGAGAAAACTGAAGACAAGAGAAGCTTATAGGTGTGACATATGTCACAAATTAGTAAATATCAGAGTCAGAATCTGAACTCATTTCTCTTAACTCCAAGTCTAGTACTCTCCCCTATATACCTGTCTGTTGACTGAAGTCCTAGAGTTGGTTTAGTAAATTGCAAAAAGTAAAATATATTGGAAGCAGGCTAGATAATAAATTTATGTGAAATAGAGGATTTAATAATCCCTATTAATAAAGAGTTTTCATTCTTTCTTTACCAAGATGGAAATGTTTCAAATGTGGATCTAGTAATTAATTTTGTATCTGCCATCCAATGATTAGGCTAGTTACATTTATGAGAGCTAGATTTTTTTTTTGTATCATCAACAGTTTGGCTATAGGGTAATGAATTTTTCTACCCTAGCAAATCACAAAAATCATCTAATAAAGCATGCAGGGATCTTTGTTGGTAGAGGGATGGTCTATACTATTGAAATCAGAGCTCTTTAAAGTCAGTATAAAATGCAGTTTTATGTGCTTTCATATCATGTTAGCCTGGTTATTTTTATGTAATTTAGAAAGTCTGATCCTGTGGAATACATAGGGATATCATATATAATTGATTAAATGTAGTTTTTGTCATCCATCTCATAAAAAAGTCACTTGTTAGTCATCTGGTTGGGAACATCTTTCATTTTCATATTTTTGCTTGTTTTTAAAATGTGATTAATCATAGCTTGACTTACAACTTTCAGGAACACAACCTCCCAGTTTAAAATTGCCTGGACCCAAGATGAACAAAGAATAATATTGATTTACAATTTACATTTCAGTCTTATTAGTAATTAAGCACAGATCTACATTTTGAACCTAAACAGTCTGATCAAACATGAAATCCTGCATAGCAGAATAGGTATCTGTTTTAAAGACAAACATCCCCTCCCTTTTATTTTTCTCTTTTTGTTTTGAGACATAACTCTCTTGGATTTTGCAGACAAGTCAAATTGATCATTGCTATGTCATATTCCCACAGTGAGAGTCTTGCTTAGACTCTTTATAACATTAAAAATGAATAATAGGTGCTTTAAACAGTTTTCTGATCATTAATGAGACTTTATAACTTTTACTTTCTACCATTTAAAATACTTCAGTCTCATTCAATTTTTCCTTATTAGCACTTACAAATACATTTTCTATAACTACATTAACATCCTTGTGATCAAATTACCAATGAGATGAATCAGCTTTCCCATCACTTCATTTTGAGCATCCAATAGCCCCAAACCATGTAGATATATTAATGACTGCAGCAGTGTTTTACACCATAATCACTCAAATATATATTTTAAAATGTGTTTATCTTCATATTACTACATATTGGACATTGATCTTTCCTAACATTCTCAATTTAAAAAAATACATTGTTCAGAGTTTTTCCTCATTTGTTTCAATTTACAATTGGTAAATTATTTGTTCTCTCAACTGCCCAAATTTTCAGTCTTATACAAATCCTTCTGAGTTATTATTTTCCCCTCTAATAAATTCCTTACATGGGCAGATCAATTCCTTTCTTTCAAACATTTAGCAATACTTTGTATATAGATTACTTAAAAAAGACTTAAAATTACTTAAAATATAAGGAAGTATGATATGGTAGTGCAAAAGAAGGAAATAGGTAAGTTATGGTAAAATTTTACAGAAAGGGATCTTGAAAATGATAACACCCAAGATGGAATCATAGAAATGATCTGTCAACCAACCTCTTCACTTTAAGACATCTAAGATCTGTTTTAGAGTGACAACATGGCATAATTGAAAGAAAATAGGTCTCAGAAGGGGCAGCTAGGTGGCACAGTGGATAGAGCACTGGCCCTGAAGTCAGGAGGACTGAGTTCAAATCTGACTGCAGACCAAACACTTGACACTTACTAGCTGTGTGACCCTGGGCAAGTCACTTAACCCCAATTGCCTAAAAAAAATAGGTCTCAGAATGAGGAAGACCTGGATTCAAGTCCCATCACCCATATAGAAAACCAATTTGACGCTGGGCTAGTAATTAAACTTCTCAGTGCTCCAACCAACTCTCTAAGACTATACATTGCAGAGCAATTGCTGGCATGTATTGGTTGGGAAAGTTCCTCATCAATAAGATCTCTTTATACTCACTACCTGTTTGGCAATAGGAAAGTCATTAATCTCTCAATGCCTGACTCTACTCTCTAAAACTATAAAGTAAGGAAGAGTGGCAGATCTGCATTGAGAAGCAATTTTTTATTCTATTCTATTAACTATAGTGAATAAAACATTGATATACACTTTTGTCAATTTATACCTTGTAATTATCTAGGTACCTATAAGGATCTGTTTACACATTCTGCATTATCATGAAACAATGTGGTTTAATAGAAATTGCTCTGGATTTAGAAGCAGGGGGTATGGGCTGAAATCTTGACTTTTCTACTTAATGCATGACTTCAAGTTTAATGTTTGATCTTACCTTGAACCTTTCCTGGGCCTCATTTTCCCTTACATGAAGAGAAGACTTTTGACTAAGTAATTTCTATGACCTTTTCCAGCTCTAAATATGTGATCCTTTGTTAATCATCATGACAAGTTCTCTATATCACTAATCATGGGTCTAGGATCTATTCATTTGAAAATCAACATTTTTGCCCTTATTCTGCATATAAGACATTACTATGTGCTTCACAATCTCCCAAAACTTATGGTTTCATTAATATCATTGAACAAATCAACTAAATGAAGATGAACATATTACTGAGAATGCCAACATTTTTTTAAGTGGCTTTCCTCTGTCAATGGATTTTACAATCCCTTTGTGTTTCCCTAGATAGTCTTTGTGACTTTGAAGTGTGATGACTGTGTTAGATTCTTTAGGATATCCAAATGATTTTGGTGGAGTATGGCAAAGGGATAAATTATATTTGTGATCATGCTTTCAATTGAAGGACTAACTGTTGGTTATTTTAACTGATTTTCTTGATGTGCCTGAAGCCTCTAGTGAGAAAACAAAATAAATAAACAGGTAGTCAAGTCAATGACAGGTCAACCAAGTGTAATCTCCTAATATGCTGATCATAGAGGGGCATTAGCTTTGGTCTATGTCCAGTTAAGTCACTCTTATTTTTGTCCAGTTTGTGGATTATCTACAGCTGAGGTAAGCTTTCCTAGCATGTTTCAAGACACTTTCTCACTGTTAGACAGTTTATACTCAAAGGACCTAAACTAATCATATCACTGGCCTATAGGCAATTATAACTGGAAGGCAAATCCCCAAAGTTAAGCCATATATATTGCAAAGCATTTATTTATATTTAGAAGTAACTGATTTCAAAGATCTATATCATTTTTCATAATATTTATGTCAATAATAGTTCTATTTAATGACATCTTATTACAGTTACTTTATTCAATATTTATTATTTTGAAAATATAATTTTGGTCTGTCCATACCAAGAAAAATAGAGAATGAATGCCTATTATCCAGATTAGGATATGAAGTTGGATAAGCAATCTATGGAACTCACTCATTAGTACATACACATTGAATAGAAACTGCAGACAAAAAAATGAACTGGGTCCAGCATTAAATGGATAAGTTGCCCATGCTAGATCCCTCCTTTTGGGGGTTGGGAGG